GTAAGTACTCCGTCTGGATCGGTGGTTCCATCCTGGCCTCTCTGTCCACCTTCCAGGCCATGTGGATCACCAAGGAGGAGTACGACGAGTCCGGCCCCGGCATTGTCCACCGCAAGTGCTTCTAAGAAGATTATCATCCAGTATGCGTTATTAGCATATGTCTTCAAAACCAAGAGGTCAAGACTCTTATGTATTCAAATTTACATTTAATTTTCATAATATTCCATCACTATCAACTGAGAATATACTATTTTGGCATAATATGAAATTGTTTCTTGATACCTATTTATTAAATAACGAGTTTCCTATAAAATATTATTTAAGATCCGATGAATGTTGTGTAGACAAACATCGTGTGTTTACATTATACAGGGATATAATATGAAAAAGAGCAGTAATAATTGTATTTACTTTATTTCGCGTTATCTTCCTCTACTAGAATAATTAATGTAACCAAACGATTGCTTAACTATATTAGGTTTAGTTATATTAGGTCAGTAATAATTGTATACGGCCATCTTCTGGTAAACACAAACATGAATTAAAAAAAAAGAGCTAAAATTATTATCTTTAGTTAATCATTATATCTAATTTGCATCACAAACTCAACCTATGAAGTTTTTATGGTGTGACCAACAAAGTAATGTCTGTTGGCTGCATTGATTTCCATATTCGAAATTATTCATTCTCATAAATCTCTCTCTCTCTCTCTCTCTCTCTCTCTCTCTCTCTCTCTCTCTCTCTCGTTGCTGCTCTATTGCCCTACGTTTCTACAGTTAGTTAAAGGCTAGTACTGTATAACTCGGCAGTACTACACAATAGAGATGCCACTATCCTCATCTGTTGATAGTAAGTGACTGTAAATGAAGGAGCAAAGTGTTGTCACCTGATAGAGAGAGTGCGTCATGCTAAATCTGTTCACAACCATCTCACCTAAACTATGTCATCTGGTGCATGAAGCCGAGAATGTTGCCACCTGCTGCACATAATAACTGGTGTTCGAAAATAAATCCAATTTGTTATCACTCGTAAGAATTTTTGAATATTTTTAGAAACATTTTCCCTCTTATGTCAGTGGTTAGCCGGAATAAGGACCAAACATCGGTTATCTTTTTATTGTCAATCATTAGTTATCATCGTGTTTTGTTATCTTTTATATGCCGTTCTCGCTTTACCTGCCGAAGATGACAATACAAACAGACTTTGCTATATAAACTGATATACGGGTAAATACCACAACAGTGTAATTACCAGCATTCCCCGTTATCGAATCACAATCCCTTTCGTCCCCATTAGTATAAGCAAGATAGTTTTTTTCTCATTTGCATAAGTAATGACTTGGAAGGTGTTTTGAAGCCTAAATTATATATAATATAATCATGATACCACCAAACTATTGTAATAAATCAATATACCTGATTATTACGAGGAAGCTTACCTTAGACAATCGCAAGAGACTAGACATCGTAATTCTCTCTCTCTCTCTCTCTCTCTCTCTCTCTCTCTCTCTCTCTCTCTCCACTTACTACTAATACATCTCTCTGGTTGACAGTAATGGGTACTCCTAAGGCTGCCAACTATAATATGCTTTCAGACACACACTTAACTCGTCTTTATCGACCTTTCACTGACTGTATTTTCTTCCTGACTATTAATGGATGACAAGGTTAGTTAAGTGCCTTTATATAAACATTCATTCATTTCTAAATTAAAGGCGCCGATATTCCTTCGTATGTGACTAAGTTAGGTTAGGTTAGATTTGGTTAATTCTAAGATATGTTTAGTTTTCCATATCTAGGTTAAAGCACTAGCTTTTATGTATGTATGTATGTATGTATGTATGTATGTATGTATGTATGCATGTATGTATGTATGTATGGTATGTATGTATGTATGTATGTATGTATGTATGTATGTATGTATGTATGTATGTATGTATGTATGTATGTATGTATGTGTGTAATGTGAGTGGTGTGTTTGCTTTCAGGTTGAGGGATTGCAATTCATATATGTGACAAAGTTAAGTAATTTTTGCAAGTATTTCTCTCAATATTTTGGTTAAGTTGAAGACTATCATGCTACCGTTACTACACTGAAGTTACTACAACATGTGAGTTTTATATTTAAGTATTTAATTGTACTTATACTTATATATAAAATGTTTTAATCTAATTCTGTCAAGAGTGAGTGTTTGGTAAATTGTTCTTCCTTATTATTTATAGACGCCATAATCAGAGTATGTGCGTGTGTGTGTGTGTGTGTGTGTATGTGTGTGTGTGTGTGTGTGTGTGTGTGTGTGTGTGTGTGTGCGTGTGGTGTGTCAGACTCACGCGACCTCGTAATGCTGTCAGGCGAAATACGGACGAAATCATGAGGTTCAGGTCACCCACTCCGCCCACCTACACTGGCTCCCCTGCCAATGCCCATGTATGGGAAGGTCGTCTTGGCCCTTTACCTATACCTCCCACCACCCCTTCTCTCTCTCTCTACCCCCCCCTCTTTACCCCTCCCCTTTTTCTCTCTCTATCCTCATACCTTTTCATATTCGCTCTACTTCCCTTTACATCTCTCTCTCTCTCTCTCTCCATCCTGTCTAATATCCATCATTTCCTCCATTATACCTCTTCATCCATCATCCATCTCTCCCTCCCTTCATATTCTTCTCTCTTCATCCCTCCCTTCATCTTCTTTTCCCTCCTACCTACCTTCTTCTCTCCCTCCTTCACACCCACCTTCTTCCCTCCCTCCCTTCACCATCACCTATGTTTATAAACTGATCCCCCGAACACTGAAGCTATTTATGACGCTGCCGCCACTAATTACTGACCAGAGTAAACACACCTTCATGATTCACCAAATATTCTCTAACAGTGTAGTCAAGTAGATTACATAAACACGATAATGTAACATGAAACTATAATGGTAGAATGATGTGTTGTGTGTAATATAATGATTAAGTTCTAAAAATACATGATTCGTAATTAATTTTTAGTTTGTTTACCTTTAGGCCTATGTATGGTTTGTTTACCTTTAGGCCTATGTATGGTTTGTTTACCTTTAGGCCTATGTATGTTTTGTTTACCTTTAGGCCTATGTATGTTTTGTTTACCTTTAGGCCAATGTATGTTTTGTTTACCTTTTGGCCTATGTATATTTTGTTTACCTTTAGGCCTATTTATGTTTTGTTTACCTTTAGGCCAATGTATGTTTTGTTTACCTTTAGGCCTACGTATGTTTTGTTTAACTTTAGGCCTATGTATGTTTTGTTTACCTTTATGCCTATTTATGTTTTGCTTACCTTTAGGCCTATTTATGTTTTGTTTACCTTTAGGCCTATGTATGTTTTGTTTACCTTAGGCCTATGTATGTTTTGTTTACCTTTAGGCCTATGTATGCTTTGTTTACCTTTAGGCCTATTTATGTTTTGTTTACCTTTAGGCCTATGTATGTTTTGTTTACTTTAGGCCTATGTATGTTTTTTTACCTTTAGGCCTATGTATGCTTTGTTTACCTTTAGGCCTATTTATGTTTTGTTTACCTTTAGGCCTATGTATGTTTTGTTTAACTTTAGGCCTATGTATGTTTTGTTTACCTTTATGCCTATTTATGTTTTGCTTACCTTTAGGCCTATTTATGTTTTGTTTACCTTTAGGCCTATGTATGTTTTGTTTACCTTAGGCCTATGTATGTTTTGTTTACCTTTAGGCCTATGTATGCTTTGTTTACCTTTAGGCCTATTTATGTTTTGTTTACCTTTAGGCCTATGTATGTTTTGTTTACTTTAGGCCTATGTATGTTTTTTTACCTTTAGGCCTATGTATGCTTTGTTTACCTTTAGGCCTATTTATGTTTTGTTTACCTTTAGGCCTATGTATGTTTTGTTTATCTTTAGGCCTATATATGTTTTGTTAATATGATACTTTTTAGAATGTTGAAAATAAAAAGATTTCTTTTTCAGTCTGTTGTCTAGTGTAAAAATACCGAGATAGTGAACGATACGCAAAGACTCGTTCACTTAAAACAACTAAATACTTTGAAAACAGCAAAAACTTCTATCAAAAAATGTCTACAATCGAAGCTCCTTTTGTGAGTGAGGTGCAAGAGGTCTGTGAGTTTGTTGATCTGGGAATATTATTATTGATATTAAAATTTGATTATTCCGAACTATGATCAGTATCTTTCATCAAACATATGTACGGTGACAGTGTACCATGGGTGTTGACACAATAATAATAATAATAATAATAATAATAATAATAATAATAATAATAATAATAATAATAATAATAACCATTTGTTCATTAATTGGTGACTATGGATACAAATGATGAACACTGCAGGTTTATCCATTCTCGAGTCCTGCTTCTGACACACAGCTCTTAAGTACAGACGACAGTGACCTACTGGGCGGGTGTCAGTAATGATTGTAATACAGAACCGAAAATCAACAGCTAACTTAGATACGACATGGAGGCTGGATAGTTGGGATTCTATACTACCTCTAATATCCTTGATCTTTCGTCTATTTTATCAAGTCATTTTGCTTTTGTTGGTGTTGAGATAAAATTAATGATACAGGTGAGTTTTTCATTATAATGGAAGTACAGAATATAACTCCCACCATTAACCAACACACAATGCTTCACTAACACTGTACGGACTTACGTGGGTATGGAAGTGTTCCCCTAATTCCATCTAAAACCAAAATATTTGTTTAAGGGTCATAAATAATCTCGCTGCCAATCTCAGGTGTATTTATCTATCCATCTGTCAGTAATTCACAATTGCCACCTCTTCTCTCCCTGAATACGGGGATTATGAGAAAGTTTCTTCCATTAATGACGAACGTTTGCCAACTGGATCTAAAATACACCTCCCCTTACCTCTGAACGTATGGTCGACCTTCTTTGATATTCTGAACCATAAGTGACTCGGTGAGCCTTTGGTCCACCACCTGCCAGCTTAATGAGTCAACTGTACACCTCCTACGACTTATTGCCGAAGGTGAAAGGTGGAGGGTATATAAAGGGCTTCAGGCACACACCTCCCCTCAGTGTACTTCAGACTCAGGATACGTCGAGACCTGTGTGCGTACTTGTGTGGTATTTGTGTGTGTGTTAAATCTGTCCAGTGTTGTTACAGAAGCGTTATACATTGATAGTGTGGGAGCAGCGACTAGTTGTAATTCATAAGATGGATTTCATTATATCATCCGTCATATATTGGAGACAACAGAGCATTAAAACTACAGTAATTAATTATAGATATCGCCTATCATAGAAAACGAGTTATAATTAGATGATAGGCGGTTATACCTTCGATTTTTTTTTAAGTAATTTATCCAAATAATCCTTCACAAGTGATACAAGATCTCTTAGGGAAGAATAATGTTTTGATAACTTTTTACTCCTAAAGCCACTGTAAACGAACGTAGTCTACTTGTTGAGAGCCATTACACCCTTCCTCCACCACACCCCGCAACCACACACCGCCACACCACCCTCCCACCCCTCCCCTCCACACCTCACACCTCTCCCTCACCTCCCCTCTCCAGGCTATTCGACCTTCACACAGGATACATACAACTAAATAATTTGCTGTGGTTAACAAGTCAAGATTGCTATCGTATAACATAAATCTTGGTTTATAAAATCTCCAGAAATATTTTTAAACTCAATTAGATGTTTTTATTATTAATATTTTTTTTTAAGAATCAATAATATTTAATCATGGATACGATAACAAGATGTCTCTGCCAGATATTTTTTTTTTTAACTATATCCAACATTAAGATTTTTAATTCCCTAACTTGATCGATCTACAGTAACTTCACTCAGGGGAAAAGAAGGAAGCCAACTTTCCCTCTCAAATCGGATAAGAATGTAAACAGTAATGCTGATAGTGACTACAATATTGATGTTGATGTTATATGAAAAAAAATATTTCTTTTTTCTTTTAACAAATTCTCAAGGTTATCGTTTAATGCCCAATAACATTATATACAATTTATTTCAAAGTTAATATATATTTCATTAACATTCATCACACGGACAAATAAAAGCGAACACTAGTAATTTGAATCAAGAACTTATAATAAAACCGAAGCACAGAATATTTATCTTTGCTTTCAAACATTTTCAAACTTAGCACCGGGAATCTAGGAACAGACTCACACTAGTACTGGACACAACTATCGCTTAATTCATTGTTATTTATACTCACTATAGTAAAAGTTGTGTTCAATGATATTCCCCATGCAACTCAAAGCCCTAAGCTGGTATACTTTCCGTCGTTTAACAAGCACCAGTGTCAGCCATAAGCCGTCAGCACCCTTCAGGCTGTTGCTTCCTGAGTGTTCATGTCTATCCTTCCATCTCTTCCATCTTTTACTTTGTTTTGGTCTCTATCTCACTGTTCACCGTGGTGGTTTCTTTCAGTCGTTTTACCAATCTTTAACGTCCCATTCATTAAGTTGATATGTCTCACCTCCTGATTCAAAGGTTTACCACCAAACGGCAGCTGTTATTCCATACTGTAAATTAGCATCACTTAATCTGAATTACCAGAGTCCCCCAAGGGTGTATTGAAGCTATTACCATTTGCCACATAAACATAATTGAATACTGAAAAGTAAGATTCATTAAGCTCCAAAGTTTTAACAAATATTTTGCAATGTATTTTATTAAATGAAGATTAGCCACTTGGTGAAATAATTCTGACATTTCTAGAAAGCCAAGGGAAAAGGACAAATCCAGACAAAGTTTTAAGGATATTGACTTTCCTTCTATATAATATGTACCCAGTTTTGTGGTGTTTCTAACACATTTTTTTGGTAAATGCAGGCTGACTAAAACACCATCATGTGTGACGACGAAGCAACAGCTCTGGTTGTGGACAATGGCTCCGGCATGGTCAAGGCTGGCTTCGCCGGCGACGACGCTCCCCGCGCCGTATTCCCCTCCATCGTCGGCCGTCCTCGTCACCAGGGTGTGATGGTCGGTATGGGTCAGAAGGACGCCTACGTCGGTGACGAGGCCCAGAGCAAGAGAGGTATCCTGACTCTCAAGTACCCCATCGAGCACGGCATCATCACCAACTGGGACGACATGGAGAAGATCTGGCATCACTCCTTCTACAACGAACTGCGTGTTGCCCCTGAGGAGTCCCCCGTCCTCCTCACTGAGGCTCCCCTCAACCCCAAGGCTAACCGCGAGAAGATGACCCAGATCATGTTTGAGACCTTCAACACCCCTGCCATGTACGTGGCCATCCAGGCCGTGCTGTCCCTGTACGCCTCTGGTCGTACCACTGGTATCGTGCTCGATACCGGTGACGGTGTCACCCACACTGTCCCCATCTACGAAGGTTATTGTCTCCCCCACGCTATCCTTCGTCTTGACCTGGCTGGCCGTGACTTGACTGCCTACCTGATGAAGATCATGACTGAGCGTGGTTACTCCTTCACCACCACGGCTGAGCGAGAAATCGTTCGTGACATCAAGGAGAAACTTTGCTATGTTGCCCTCGACTTTGAGAACGAGATGAATTTGGCTGCAGCTTCATCCTCACTCGAGAAGTCCTACGAACTTCCCGACGGTCAGGTCATCACCATCGGCAACGAACGTTTCCGTTGCCCCGAGTCTCTGTTCCAGCCTTCCTTCTTGGGTATGGAATCTGTTGGTATCCACGAGACCGTCTACAACTCCATCATGAGGTGCGACATTGATATCAGGAAGGACCTGTTCGCCAACAACGTTCTTTCTGGTGGTACCACCATGTACCCTGGTATTGCTGACCGCATGCAAAAGGAAATCACTGCTCTGGCTCCCTCCACCATCAAGATCAAGATCATTGCTCCTCCCGAGCGTAAGTACTCCGTCTGGATCGGTGGCTCCATCCTGGCCTCTCTGTCCACTTTCCAGGCCATGTGGATCACCAAGGAGGAGTACGACGAGTCCGGCCCCGGCATTGTCCACCGCAAGTGCTTCTAAGAAGTGCATCATCGTGTTCCCTAAAGCAATATATATTTTTGTGACAACACCATTTCATATATCTTTTGCATTGGTTACATGGGATTTGAATCTAACTTGAGATGTCAACATTCTTTAACGATAAGCGGTAATGTACTCCTCTCTTCTCATCCACTGCTATTCTCTTCATCTATTATTTTCATTTTTCAGCATCTACTATACGACAAAATATATTGATATGATATATAAAATAATGTTTCATTCAAGCCTTTTTAACTTATATATTTAACTTCATGGAGCGATGGTTTCCAACCCCAAGAATATCTAAATTATTATGATTTTATGAAATTCTAAGATAATTTGTTAACAAAATAAGTATAACATTTACCTTAAACATACAAAACCCAACGAAGGTCGAATCATTCTCCTAACAACCAACAGATCGTAATTTTGCGATGATGTACAATGATTTACAAAACCAATAGTGCAATTTTAATATATCTTTAATTCTGAAAATCGATTTATCTCTCTGTTCATCTACTATCTGGCAATATATATCTCTCTCAACCTATACACGTATCTATTTATATAGTTCCCGCCTGGATTAGAATCTACAGTAAGCTTCACGTCAGAATTCTTCATGACAGTCACCCCGCGTCTGCTGAAACCTCCCAGTACATTACCTCAGCTAAGTCACGATCATACCACTGTGTTTTCAATCAATAATCGTAACATCTAATGGCTCACATAATCATGGCATATAAAACACCACCATAGAAGTGATATTTCAGAGGTGATTCTCTGAGGTTCCAAGAATTCTAGATCTTAAGCAAAAAATTCCATCTTAAGCTTTAGTGACGTTTGCTATATGTTACCGACGAGCACTATCTGACGGTGAAATAGCCAGACGTAACATTAAAGTAAGAAGACCCTTTCCTTCACTTGATGCTCACGAAGGACTTGACTCACTGTTCGTCAGATCATCTACGTGTTTCCCTCGTTGTATATTTTTGCCATTATTTTTTTTTTTTCGTTCTATATGAAGGAACCTCAAAAATCATACACAAACAACGTTATTATATCTATTATGGTGAGTAAATGAGAGTACTTCATACATCTTTATATCCACGAGAACATAAACAACTGAAATTTTAATAGGAAATAGTCTGTAATTTCTAATTTTGTAGTTTTTAAAATATTAACGAAAATATCGATTTTTTATTTCTGTAACGATGAAATTATCTTTATACATTAACTTTAACACAAATACAAATAGATTCATCCAATGTCTCATCCATTATGGGGTAAATATTGACTATACGAAGTTGCTTATAAGGATGTGTAATGATTTGTACATCAATTCCTAGTTCTTGTAGCGTTTAACATTACGACCGTTAATGCCACAACATCAACAAACATAATTTCGGACTTGTGGTTACTCTCACCCTTGGTACAACACTAAGGCAAAGGGTAAACACTATACGTGAACTGACTCCATCGGCAGTAATATATCTTCAATGTTGAGAGAGAGTCTATGAAGTTGACTGGCAGCCAATCATAACTTGCTTTGATTAAGATAACCAATCGGTGTAAAGTTTTGTTGTGAGTGAAATCAATAATGGCCTTTACTCACTATGTACACAAGATGGTGAGGGATGATTAGATTCATTGATTCTAGATAATGTTTGTGTAGTTATGATCGTTCTGAAATCCCTGTACCTGTACCTCGACCTGGTTCTGTACCTATACCTGTAATCTGTTCTGTATTGTACCTGTATATGTACCTGGTCTTGCATACTTACCTGTAACTAAAATTTATATAGGCTCCAACACTCGGAATGTCTCTTTATACCTGTTACCTGTATTAATACCCGTAATTTCACCTGTAGAAGTAAGTAACTGCTAAATATACCTGTACCTAACACCTGTTCTGGCTGTCTCTGATTCAACACGCGTAAAATTAATAAATTACTCATATCTAATACGCTTCCTTCCTCTCCTCTAACTATTTTATCCCTATCTGGTTCAGAATAGCAAATACTTAAGGCATGAAGTGAGAAGCCGGGGCTGACAGATCAACTGTTTACAATACTGTCCCACAAAACTCCCAGGAACCATGACTCGTTTTATCACCTCCTCTACCTCCGCCATCCGTGCTTCTGCTGCCAATGCCCAAGTAGGGTAATGACGCCTTGGTCCATAGCCCGCCCACCTACCCTCCCGCGCTATTTCTAGGGTTGCTGACCGAGAGAGAGAGAGAGAGAGAGAGAGAGAGAGAGCATACAGAATAATCAATGACAAGGAAAGGGAGAGACAGAAAGCATTCTCACTTCTATATATTGATAAAAAAGTCACTAATAATATTGCTAAATATGCTGTTATATTAATAATAATAACAACAACAACAACCATTAAAATAACAACAACAACAACAATAAAAATAACAACAACAATAAAAATAACAACAATAATAATAATAAAAATAATAATAATAATAATATCAATAAGATCATTTTCTTAAAACACACAGCATTGAATAAGGGTTTTACACAATGAACAAAGATAATACACAGATCTATACTAACACACTATATATCAAAAGTGATTACAATACTCTTTTTCATCTTTAAGGAAGGCGAGCTGGTTAATAACTACAGGATGGTGATGTATGTATCCGTAATGCTAAACGTTTGATCATTAATAACAATGACAGATTATTGTAATTTCTTAAACATTTTCTTTTCTTCTCAATGCCAATTTTCTGGGTGTTTTCCGACATTTTTGACAATTTTAGGGGATTTCAGGGGATTTTTGACATTTCAGGGTATTTTATGCAATATTGAGCCTTTTGGGGACTTTCGGTGGTATTTTGAGAGATTTGGAGCATTTTAAGAATTTCGGGATATTTTATGAAATCCGGGGCATTTTGAGAATATCGAGGCAGATTTCCAAATATTATTCAACCCTCATTCTGGTCCCTATAAATATGCGAATACAGGTTTACAGTATACTCTATGTAAATATTGTCACAGCGCAGTTGAATTCGTCCTTTAGAACGTTTCTGTGACGGCAAAAATGAAATTATTACAAAATAACACTTGACTTTCATGACAGCTATTACACCGAGTTCTGAATAGTGTGAATACGTTAAAAAAAAATTACAGTCAATAAATAAAATAACCTAATGATTCGAAACAATGGAACGGATCACAATGGATTAAAGATTTGAAACGAAGATGAAAGGGTTTGAATACTATGCTCGTAGGATTTAGGATGATGTATAAGGATTTCGATCATTGGTCAGATAAATGATTCTCAGATAATTCATATCAGTGATAAATAAAGGATCAGAACAGTGTGTAAATGAAAGGCTCGGAGTGGTACAGAAAGGGTTCGTGGTAGTTATATTTTTGAAAGAATTTACGCCCGCAGTATTCAGGGATTAGTTTCACACACACACACACACACACACACGTACGTACTTAAATGCGGGTCAAGACACTCACTAGACAGACGTTTCACTATTGATGGTGAGTAACAGTAAGTGAAGAGTAATGACTGACGGATGGTGAGTAACGGGTGAACATAATCGGGTAATGAGTAATAGCTGGTGAGTAACGGTTGATGAGTGACAGCTGGTGAGTAACGGTTGACGAATGACGGTTGTTGAGTGACGGTTGTTGAGTGACGGTTGGCGAGTGACAGTTGATGAGTAACGGTTGACGAATGACGGTTGGTGAGTAACGGTTGGTGAGTGACAGTTGATGAGTAATGCTTGTTGAGTGACGGTTGGTGAGTGACAGTTGGCGAGTGACGGTTGAACAGCAAGGATGAGTTAAAGCTGGTAATTACTGTTTTAGTGAGGTGGTTATCACATGTCTGAGCTTATAGATGAAAAAAAAAATCCAATAGGGATGAAATTTCCCTCAGGCGAAAAAAAAAAATCAGTTTGTCAGTTAGGAAAGGTAATTAATGGGACGAAGACCACAGACAAAATTAATACTTACTTGAAGTTATTTTTTTATTAATAACTCATGAAATTCAGATACATAAAATAAAAATACGATTAAGTGTGTAGTCGCGTATCTTGTTGACAATTCCTTCTATGCACTTTCATGGTCTCTTTTTTGTTCTACCATTAAAGAACCATTAAATAATTGACTAGTTATAAACATTTACGACCATAAAACATCTTCTGATTGACTCACACACTTACAGTACAAACATTAGCTTGACCCGAACATATCAAACACACACACACACACATGCACAGCACACACCTGCTGTATTACCTAAACACCTATAAATACAATCACCTGCCACATGACACATAGATCTCCTCATTGCCAGAGCCATTTTGTTCAACATGTTCAAAGCGATCACAGATTCGCTCCATTTACAACCTTCTTAATGGCAGGAAGTTGAGTCATTAATAAAATGGTAGATTATTTAGAAACTTGGCCGTTACATAAGCAAGCATACCTCCTCAAAACTCCACTAAGGATGTCTGAGAGAACGTGGGTCCTAAAGGCGGTGTTATACTAAGCCTTCAGTACACAAGAAGGCAGTGTGATATAAGTTCTGAGCTCGACAGCCACCATTTTCCCAATTGTAAAGTTAGATACGCATTTACAGGAGGGTAATGAACCAGCGACCCCGAGGATAGGAGGCGAGTTGCGTCCACTCGGCCACCACTTCCTCAAGGATATCGAAGAAATTAAGACAAATAATTTTTTTCTTTAAAATGTCAATAATAGTGTGACACAGCTAAAGAAAATGGTTTTATTATTTATATGTAGCTAGATTTTGTAGGTTATATGTGCATTTTATAGTCAAATCTAAAGTCACTGTTCTATTACGATACTAGACCTACCTTCTACTGATCTCAATATGACTTATACTTAAAAATAACGTTTCTGAATCCAAGTAGATAGACACGAGGCATCTTCGGCAGTAGCAACCCATGTATTATCATTCAACATTCAGAATCCCCAAAAGATCATCAGGAATGTCAGTTTCAGTATATATTTTACATTGATCCTCAAGATGTGAAAGTATCCAAACGCATAACTTAACCCTATATGTGCATTCAATCTGTTTCATAACCATTTCAACCAAGAGTAACAGAGTACAGAGCCTTGATTACAACCCCAGATTGCTAAACAGTCGACCATCTGTTTACGTCAATAGTTACATCTCAAACACCCAGCCTGTGATATGACCCCCTTCAAATAACATTAAATTGTGATTATAAAGGGAAAGTGTATTCTATTATGTATTCATGCAAAAAACCATGGTCGCAACGCTAGGACGAGGAATCTTTCTTTACCTTTGACAGATGTTTGTCAGCTCATCTTGAAGCAATATCTCCTTGGCACTAAACTCAGGATGTCGCACCCAAACACGGAATGAAAGGGAGAAGTTGGCTGATAGGCTAATCCAGGACGCACCTACGGAGCTCGAGTGTCAGAAGTTATATATCTTGTTCTATCTTTCTCGTTTATCAGTCAGTGTTGAGCCTCCCCAGACGCTATTATTCAAGAAGATATGACCTCAACCTCGGTAATGAAGTAGACCTAACAGCGCTCTCTTCTGTCTGCACCCAACCACCTGCCAGCATAATGAGACAACTGTAACCTTTACAACTTATTGCGGAAGCTCAAGGTGGGTATATATATGGGTCTTCAGGCTCCCTGCTGCTCTTAGTGTACTTCAGACTCAGGATACGTTAGGACCTGTGTGCGTAATTCCCCGGTAGTATAGTGCATAGTCTGGTGAAGTGAAGCTTATATGAAAAATAACTTTCTCATTACAACGGATTTTATCATAGGTCTTACTGGCATAGACTTGAATATCGTCATACAATTACGCCTATAGTGAAAATTTAACTTAATTAGAGGGAATTATTACGTAATTATTGATTCTTGAGGCAAAAGATTAATTATAACAGATCCATCCCGAAATATTCTCTGGATATGATTGATTTATCGTTTCTCTCACAGTCAACATAATGACTCAGATAATCAAGAAGAGATTTCCTCCTGTCAGCCCCCAAAATCTTAGAAATCAATACCCTAAACGATTATACTTAACCTATCCTTATTAATTTATCTATCAACAGTTTGACGTCAATTCAGATCACTCAACGAGGAGGTAGATTCTCTCGCTAAATATACATACGTGTGATAGAGTGGAGTCAGGTTGGGCGGACGATTCATACCCATAGTTTTCAGTCATCCCTTGGCTGGCTGGCACATGGTCTGGTGCAGCTGATTTAGGGTAATACACTCAGCCCCTATAAATCCTGTTACGTAGTTTATATCTTTAGAAGAATGCATAGTGCACACTCCTCTTTCCAAGGGTGACATACAGACTATTTCTTGAAGGTAGTATTATTTTTATTAGGTTAAAATTCCGATATGGATATTGTCTTCTGAATATAAATTTATAAAGAGAAATCGTATGATATTTCAAATTCGACTGGATTTTGTGTGTTGTGGATTGGCATTCAAGTAATGGCTACAATTCATTACTTGTAAAAGAAGATCGAATTCATGCAATTTGCTGATATTTGATTTTATATTAACACTGTATACGACAAAAGTCCCTGAATTTCTTTATGCTGCTGCTAGTGTGTCGAGTACTATGAAAGTAAATACTAGTAGTTCTAGTACTCTGGGTGAGTAGCGTTAGTGTTCCTACTGTAAAGGAACAAGACACTAATATGACTTAACTCACTGGTGCCATCCTATACTAAACACTAATAACTAAAAAGGAAGATTTACCATATTTCAAGGACGGCTCCTCGAAACCTTATATCAGGCGGAATATCAACTTGATTTATTAACTTTCTATTTTCCAAAATGCACAAAATATTCATACAAATCTTGTTTCATAGTATTAAGTTGATCAACCTGCTAGTGATAATGAAGTAAATAAGAATTGATCGGAGATGCAACAGGAAAATAACCGTTGTAGAAGC